TGTTAACCCCAGCCACGCCAGCTGGCCGCCAGCCAACCAGCCAGAGCAACCCTAGCCCAAGCCGCACCAGCTGGCCGGAGCGACCTCAGCCGCACGGGCCAGCCAGAACAGCCCCAGCCGCGCCAGCTGGCCAGCTGGAGTGACCCCAGCCCTTTATAAAATGTCTTTATAAAAAGATGGGCAGCAAGGATTTTCTGAAACAATTCTATAGTTTTCACTGGAAAGGGATTTTTTTTTAGAAATTGAAGGATTGAGTTTCAATCTACCTTCAGTTTTTAATTAAATACTTCTGATTTTGGCATGAATGTGGGGGGAATTCAGCGTCCAGGACCTCATTAGGTGGGGACAATGAGTTTTGTTTAGAATTTCTGTTTATGTGGTTATATAGTCTAAAGTAGTTTAGGGCTCCTGGCCTTGAACAAAACAATTTTTGCAATCAGATTACATTTGTGATTGGAACAGAGCATATGTCATCCCAGACATCAGTTTTAAAGATGACCTACAATGGACTTGTTTTTAAAATTGGAGTTATGCCCTGTTCTCAGCCCATATGTGCTCCAAATTCAGCAAAGGTTTTTTCTTGATATTTTTGTACTTTTATAAGTATATTTATACAACTTAGAACAGCATCAAACATCCATTGCATTTGGAAAATGAATGTTAAAAAGGAAATGGCAAACAGATACTTTACTCAGTGACCAGAAAAATTTGCTCATTCATACTCTTGTTTGCAAATATTTGAAGTGGTGGCAATAGAAAGCTGATGAAAATAATCTTGCTTCTCACTTCCTTAGTACAGAGTTGTTGACAGTGGGTGAGATTTTAAATAATGTCTTGATCAGCTTTGAACTAAACTGGATATAATAAACAATTGATACAACATTATCACTAGGCACTTGAGCAATTAGATCCTTCAGAAATAGCTTCAAGTTTAACTAGAAGCAGGAAAATTATCTTTTCACTGAGAATTGAAATATCCCAGTTATAGACATTATGCCTTAATTAGTAGCACACTCATATCCTAACTAAAAAAAAATCAGCATGAGATTGACAGCTGTGGATACTGACAGCTTCTTTCTACAGAATAGGTGTCATGTACTTATGTACCAGATATGGATTAGAGTTGCCAAATTTGGTTGGGCATATTCCTGGAGGTTTCATCACATGACATAATCTTTAATTAAATATTAATCTTTAATTCCTGGAGACTCCAGGACAATCCTGGAGGCTTGGCAACCCTAATATGGACTGATCACAGAGTTTGCTTATACACATCACATGGGTTCATCATACGATCCTTTAATGCTCTGCCAGACATGGCTGAGGTTCATTTAAATAAGGTATTTACTCATAACACCGCCTAGTGGCTGAATGGTGTAATAGAATGCTAATACAGTTTAGCATTCTATTACACCTCCCTTTTTATGTTCTACATTCCTGCCATTTACAATGTGTATGCTATCATGCTGTCTTTGAAGTATGTATGTCTGCTATGTGTCTCTGAATCATACTGGTTTTCTAATTATACGACCTGCATGCGTAACAACTTATCATCTGGCTTGCCATTAGTTGCAACAACTGGCTGTGGTCGGGCCAGAATCCTTGAATCATCATTGTCTTGTTCTGCATCTGCCATCTGTAGAGTTTGCTTTGTTGATTGTTCTCTTTGAGGAGCATACTGTAGATGTCAACTGTTTCCGTTGAACTCTCTACTGTTGGTCTTGATCAAATATGATCTGGATGCTGAATTATTTTTCTTTATGACAGCTAGAGTTGTCCATCCCTTTTCTCTATCCAATTCAACACGAACACAGTCACCAGGTTCTAGACACAGCAGTTCTCTGTGTGACATCTGTTATGAAAGTGTACATAAGCTCTTTTAGCTCTTGTATCCAATTTGGCTACTCTCTTCAGGTCTGGCCACTTTGGAGATGGATTGTTTTCCAAAATTGGAACAGTAGTTCTGAGTTATCTTCCCAGCAGAAGCAGGACTGGACTCTATCCAGTAGCTGCTATATGTTCATCATAAGGTCCTTTAATGCTCTGCCATGTATCACTGAAGTTTATTTCAAGTATTTTCATCCAGACCACATCACACGATCCATTGTCTACAGCCAAGCTCTAAGATTCAACGGCATTTTCTCCAATCCCTCAGACAGAGACAAACACCTACAAGATCTCTATCAAGCATTCTTAAAACTACAGTACCCACCTGCTGAAGTGAAGAAACAGATTGACAGAGTCAGAAGAATTTCTTCCTGGCCCTTCCATGCTGGTATAGGAGTTTGTGGTTGGGAGGGATGGGGAAGAGACAGAGCCAGAGCCAGGCAGCATTTACTTTCTGCTGCCAATTCCCTTGAGTTTGGGTGTGTTTCCAAGTTATTGCTAGGTTGTTTTCAAGCCAGTAGTTCCTTTCCCCCTCCAAACAGCTGCAACTCCTGCATTCCAAATGAGTTAATTAAGTAAACATTAGGGATGTAAAATGTTAACCGGTTAACCGGTAAGCATTAGTCTTACCTGTTAACCTGCCTTAACCGTTAATCCCCGGGCAGGCCGGCCCGCCAACCCCAGCCACAGCAGCCGGATCGGCCCCAGCCCGAGCCGCGCCGGCCAGATCAGCCCCAGCCACGCCGGCTAGATCAGTCCCAGCCCCTCTCCCTTTAATTGGTTAACTATTTAAACAAAATATTTTTAATAGTTTAAATGGTTAACTTTTAAACGATATTTACATCCCTAGTAAACCTGAGTTCTTAAATAACCAAGAAATACAGGAACAGTTTTAAAACTTGACCTTACCTCGTGTTAAGAAGAAAAATACAAAATAGTCTTTCATTTTGCTCAGATTTGAAACATTACATCCAAGGTTCAGTAGAGTAGGACTTATACAACCACATTAGTGAATGTTTTATATGATGCTGTTCTAACCACTAGATGAAAGTATTCCTTTTGTCTGAATCCCTTCCACCTTACTCCACTGAAGCAAGAAGGCAAAAAAAAAAAAAAAAACCCCTGTCAGTCACCCCACCTATAAAGGATGCTGCCATTTCTTTCTGACTTGTTCTTTATCTTTGTGCCGTGGGAGGATGAGACTTACATTGATTGGTGCCCATTTTGAGGAGGGCATTTTTAATATGGTTAAGAGGTGTTTGAAACCACGCTATTATGAATAAGCAGCTGTAGTTAGTTTAGTGGCATTATCTAGTTTAAAAAAACACTCTCTGTAGGATTTTTACAGTTACCTGGTACCTGGATGATTTGTAAAAATGGCACAAGAAATTTTTGACTAGTCTCACTTTTTCCAGTGTTACTCATAGATGATGAGATAAGGGTCCTCTCTTCTTGGGCTTCAGATTTGGAAAGTATGATGGTGCTAACAAGAGTAATGAATAATAAAATCAGTGAATCTTATCAAGCTAACCCTAGGTGGCTTAACCTCCACCACCCTCACAGACAAAAAAGGGGATTAGATGAGAAATAAATTTCTACATGTACATACCTGAATCGATATACCATAATTAAATATCAAGTTGTACCAATGTTCGTGAAAATGAGTACATTGTATTTCACTATATGTGTATATTAAACATATTTCTTTTGTTGTGTAGGTATATCAGAACCTTCTTTTATTGCTAAAAGTGAAGATCGTTTGTTTAAACACTTATTTCAAGACTATCAAAAATGGGTTCGCCCAGTCCAACGCTTGAATGACACAATAAAAATAAAGTTTGGTCTTGCCATCTCTCAGTTAGTGGATGTGGTATGTATGGTAAACAATATTAAAACTACAAACTGAGCAAAGCTTTTAGAATAGGGAAGTGTTTATGAAAAATAACTTGATATTCTATTGTTAAATAATTGTGCATATTTATATATATATATATATAAAATAAATGAAACATTTTAAAAGGAGGCATATATAGATAAGGGTGCAATGAGGAGGGAAGTCCCAGAAAGAGAGAGCCTCAGAGAAGTGAAGATGAAGGAAGAAAAATAGAATTGTCAGAGGCCACAGAGAGAATGATGAAAATAAGTGGCCCTTGGACATATTTTTGTTTTCTGTAAAATTTGTTAAGTAAAGCTTTTAGTATATGTAGAGTATCAGAGGAGTAGTCGTGTTAGTCTGGATCTTAAAGCGACAAAGAGTCCTGTGGCACCTTATAGACTAACAGACGTATTGGAGCATAAGCTTTCGTGGGTGAATACCCACTTCGTCAGATGCATATTCACCCACGAAAGCTTATGCTCCAATACTTCTGTTAGTCTATAAGGTGCCACAGGACTCTTTGTCAGTATATGTAGAGTTATTGGGTTTTCTATTGTTTAAAATTCATTTCAATGAATAAATACAAAAAGTTTTAAATTGTAGCAATCTGTTCTCTTGTTGGTTCTATAAACATAAAATATAGAAAAGTTATTGTACAAAAAAAGAAGAAATAAAGATAATGTCCTTGAACATGTCAGTTCCATAAAAGAGGAGATAATCTACTGGCGTGGCATAGCTTAGAACATTAAAGATTTCAACTTGATATTTTTTAATTTACTAATTTTAAAAATGTTTCCTAATTGAGCACTTTCTGAAAAGTATATTCTGAATTTAAACAGAAAAAAAAAATCTGTAAGGCTTTTTCTGTTCCCGTAATGGTTTTAAAGAGTATTTTCAATTAGTCATTTTGTTCCTTGATGACTCTACAGGGAAACAGTAGTACTATACGTGAAATGCTGTAAAATATACAAAGTAAATCAATGTTGGATGTGAGGGGGAGGGGAAATCACTTTTTCATTAACTTATTTTGGTTACTGTAATCTTAGTTGGTGGCTGTAACAATAGTAGTTAGAAAAAATAGACAAACAGGCTTTTCAAATGGAATCCTTCTCAATTAATATATTTGTATTGCAACTTAATGAGCCTCCTTTGAACAAAACCACAGTTGGTTACAGTGAATAAGCAGTGTAAAATCATTGTTCCCATAAAAACATGCTGTTTAAATTTTTTATAGGATGAGAAAAATCAGTTGATGACAACAAATGTTTGGATGAAACAGGTATGTGCAAATGTCAACTGAAGAGTCCACTGAGTGACTAAAATGTAAAGTTGTAAGCAGATTTTTTAGGTGGTTGTATATTTATAGGATCTTCATCTAAAAACTATATTAACCTTTATTTTATATAGCATGTTTAACACAAAAGGCACATCATAATGCTCGAAAGAAGTAATAGCCACAAAATTCAGTTAAATAATTAAAAAATACATCTAAAAGCTTTTTCAAAAAAGAAAATTTCTAATAAAAGTGACATATTTTAGATACATTTATTAAATGAAGATACATATATTCAGACATATATTTTGAAATTCCTATAATGAAGCATCCAGTTTTTAGTCAGAAACTGTCACAAGCACAAGATAGTATAGCTTTGTATAATTGCTTTTAAAAAATTATTTTAAAATTATACTGTTAAGATATTTTTTATCCTATTTTGATTAACAAAGCTCAGGACTTTTAATTTCATGTCCAGTAATCTATCTGGAGGTCAAAGAGGAGGGGCTTGCTATAAACACCTAGTTGGTTTATTCTGCCCTAGGTAAAGGTATTAGATCATAAGCAGGAAGTGCCCTCAAGTTATAATAATCACAATCCAGAACTAAACTTTGACGCCGTTATTATCTTTAGATATATTTGTCACTGAGTTACCCTTAAATTGTTACAAAGGGTTTCCTCCTTTCATCCCACTTACCATCTTCAGTTCTCTAACTCTTCCCTGCACCTTTATTGACTTTGAGAAACGTTTAGGCCCCCTACGTGCAGTGAGCACATGGTTTACTAAATTATATTTATAGAACTTTCTCAATTTTCCTCTTTCCCATAAAAACTGCCATATATACTCAGTTGTTTTCAGTGTTGTTGCAATTGTGTTGGTCCCAGGATATGGGCGAGACAATGTAGATGAGGTAATATCTTCTATTGGACCATCTTCTGATGATGGAAAGTATAAGCTTTTGAGCTACACAGAGCTACTCTTTCCTTCTACAGACTAGAAGAAGAGCTCTATGTAGGTTAAAAGTTTGTACCTTCCACCAACAGACGTTGGTCCAGTAAAAGATATTACCTCACCTTTCTTGTCTCTTATTTATACTCAAGCATTTCTTTTTAGATTAGCTATTAAATAGTTGACTGAGGTGGGGGAGTACGTGGGACTCCCTTACACTGGTTCTTGAAGCAGAAGCCTGCCCTTACCAACACCTGCTACTACTTCAGAATAGCAAGAAAGTCTGGTGAAATCCACTTATGCCCTCCCCAACTATCACTGTTCAGTACTTTAACTAGATGAACCGGTTCAGTTAAAATAAGTGGCCTAAACCGACATTTAAAGCTCTACCCAAATGGTGAATCTTTTGAGATCCTATTTTTTCTTGCACTTCTACATTTTCTAGTTCAGAAATAAAAGTACCAAAATGTTAAGGTGGAGTTATATTATTTCTAGTGCTGACAGATCCAAAAAGCACTGGCAATCTCATGAGACAGCAGGATCTTCTTTTCTGACCCTAAAGTACAGATCAGCTTTAGATAAGCTTCCAAACTTTTGGATGCTTATCCAAACCAAACTTTTTCAAGTTTGCCCATCCTTATTTTGTAACTGCTTTAATTTATGTGAATACATTGTTAAAGAGGCTTTTAATATTTTTAAAAACTCCATACAGAAGTACTGTGGAACTAAATGGCTCTTAAAATTGAAGAAAGAAAAATTGGACCAGGTAGATAATGACTAACTGGGTCACCATGTTCATTTTAATATGTGAGATGTGGAGGCAAAAAGTCTGATCTCTCTTTTACATCCCTTCTACTTCTTTTTCATCCAAAAACTATCTATCTATATATTGCCTGTTTTAAGTCAGTTTTAAAAATACTATAACATTTATCATGTATTTATAGGAATGGATAGATGTAAAATTAAGGTGGAAACCTGAAGACTATGCTGGAATAACATCTATTCGTGTCCCATCAGAGTCTATCTGGATTCCAGATATTGTGTTGTATGACAAGTAAGATTTTAATCTTATTCTATAAAATAAATCTACCCCTGCCACATTGACCATCCACTCTCCACATAGAATGAGGCATGGGTTCTGCAGGTAAATAGTGTGTGATCCCATAATTACACTGTATTGTAATACATGCACATAAGGTGTCAGAATTAAAAATGCATGGACTGCCTTACCTTTGGCATTTCCAGACTTCTGAGTGCTTTGCTTTACAATCTTAATTTTTTTTAACATTTCCTTTTTCTATGAAATTTTCTAGGACTTTTTAAAAAAAAATAGTTAAATTCCTTCATATGAAAAGATTTGCTAGTCAGAAGTAGAACACTGTCCTGCACAAACATGCATTCATTTATGCTAGGGCTCCTGCAGAGTCCTACCAGAGTGCACAGTTCTGAATACAAACTAGTAGGCTGAGGCTGTCAAAATACATCCTCATATATATAATACTCAATATACAAAGATGTTAAATGAAACTTTACTCACCTTTCTTATACATCTATGCAGAGAGGTAATAGAGCTTGGAGAGACTGAATTTTGAATGAAAGTTTCTGCTCAACTTATATTTGCATACACAGTGCCTGTAGAACACTGGTTAATTGTTTAGTTAAACAAACTCTGTTATTGTATTTATAAAACAAAAAAAGTTTGGAAGTGCTAAGTGTATTGTTTGTTTTTTGCATGCATAATTAAGTTAAAGTAAAATTGATTTTCACCAGCCCACCAATATGCACATCTGTTAAGCAGGGGTGATTCCTATCACAAGTCAAGTTTTGACCCCCTCTTCTGAGGCACTAGAGCTGTTCAGAAAAGTTGCACAAATATTATTATAATGGGGAAAACGTTTGTTCATGGTTTGCTTTTCCTTAATCAGCTTAAACTTAAAAAAATAGAGTCCTGATCTAAGGACAAAAGTGCAAAATTTCCACTCTAAAGGTAAAAATCTGAGAGTGATAAGCATCTGAAATGACACTTTGGAATGGTGACACTTAATAGGAAACCTTAACTAAAAGCATCTGGTTGTAATGTGTGTAATAACATAGCCAAATATGCATATTTTTTCCTTTCAGTGCAGATGGTCGTTTTGAAGGAACATCTACAAAAACAGTAGTAAAATATGATGGGACCGTTGCTTGGACTCCCCCAGCAAACTACAAAAGTTCTTGTACCATAGATGTTACATTCTTTCCATTTGACCTCCAAAACTGCTCCATGAAATTTGGTTCCTGGACCTATGATGGCTCACAGGTTGATATTATTCTAGAAGATTATGATGTTGACAAGAGAGATTTCTTTGATAATGGAGAATGGGAAATAGTAACTGCAACAGGGAGCAAAGGGAAGAGAACTGATGGATGCTGCTGGTACCCATTTATTACATATTCATTTGTAATTAGACGGTTGCCTCTTTTTTACACACTGTTTCTCATTATTCCGTGTATAGGACTTTCATTTTTAACTATCCTTGTCTTTTATCTCCCTTCAAATGAAGGTGAAAAAATTTCTCTCTGCACTTCGGTACTGGTGTCTTTGACTGTCTTTCTTCTTGTTATTGAAGAGATTATACCATCATCTTCTAAAGTTATACCACTTATTGGAGAGTACTTGGTGTTTACTATGATTTTTGTGACACTGTCCATTGTGATAACTGTCTTTGCTATTAATATTCATCATCGTTCCTCTTCTACTCACAATGCTATGGCACCTTGGGTCCGCAAGATATTTCTTCATAAACTTCCAAAGATACTTTGCATGAGAAGTCATGTAGATAGATACTTTGCTCAGAAAGAAGAAACTAGCAATATCAGTGGATCAGAATCATCTAGGAACACCTTGGAAGCAGCTCTAGATTCTATCCGCTACATTACAAGACATATCATGAAGGAGAATGACGTTCGCGAGGTGTGTGTATTGGTGATGTTGCACTCATTTGTTCAGATTAGAAATTAGAATAGAAATCTAAACAATGGCTTAGAGTACCTGTCTCTGTTCTTATCTAGTATAGCAGTGACCAATTATTTCCTGAAATAGCTAGAAATGCTAGCTTTGTTTCAAGATGTCCTGCTTTTGGGAAGTGATTAAAAAGGCCTTCCAGTAAACAAGTACATTTTTGATAGACTCCGTATGAGTACTGTATACTTTCTGCAATGGTGATCAAAATCTGTCTGGCTCCCTTTTACAGTTAAGCCTTTTGTGGTCTTTCTGAAAATATTTTCTTGTAATTATAAATCCCTTAAAAGATGTTTGGTCAATTACAACAGTAGAGTGAATGAATATTCTAAATCTTATTTTGCTTGTAGGGTTGCTACTGGACTATTTCATTATCACATTGTTGTTGGAGAGTATGTATTCTTAATTTTAACACATGACAAGATATCTTTGTCATTTTAAATTTAATTGATTTTTATAATTTAAAAAATACACATTAAAGCTATCTTATGTGCAGTTCAGCAAAAATAGAACTAAACTTAATTTTGCAGTCTTAAGTCCAAACCAGAACAATGTATTATTATTAATTATTTGTGTTACTGTAGTGCCTAGTAGATGTAATCAGAGACCGGAGGCCCATTGTGCTAGGCGCTGTACTAGTATCTTATCTTCGTGCATTTTATATATAGTATCTCTGTATGTACAGTATTTCCTATCTGTATTATGGCTACTATATTGTTACTCTCAGAACCACAATGTTGAATTTTATGTGTCTGATCCTTCTCTCACTTTCACTGGTGTAACTTTGTTGATTTAGATTTACACTAGAATAAGTGAGTGGAGAATTATTTTTCAACTGTGATGTTGCACCAACATATGTTTTTTGCATTGAACTACAAGTGAAGGGGTATTTGTAAGGAAAAAATGTGCAGATGTATTTATGCATCAAGCAATCACACATTCAAATAACTGCGTACCTGAATGTGTGCTAGGGGTACAACAGTTGCTCTGGGTCAATTTCCTTTTTATCACTTGCATTCTTTGCCATAATGTTGCAATATCTTGATTTTAAATATATATTTATAAATATAGTCTATATATTGTGAGGGAAAACACTAATAAGAGAAAAAAATCATAATCTACGGTCTTGATCCTACAATGAGCTTCCCCTAGGTAGGCCCCAGTGCCTGCAGGATCAGGGCCTTGGTCTAGTAGCTGGATCACTTGTAAATATTTTACTTATCTTTCAATAAGTGGGGGAAAAAAACAGAACTAATTTGATTTCTCATTGTGGGTCCAATCCTGCTAACAGTTGCTACAGGTGGACTTTTTGCTACTGTGAATATTGCTATTGAAGTATGCTAGTAATGAGGTGTTGAATACTTTCATCTCCCAGGAAGTTGAAAGTGTTCAGCACCTTGCAGAATTAGGCCCTGATTCTTTGGCTGTAACTAAAGTATTCGGCCCTCTTCCCCAAAATGAGTTTGACAACTTTGCTCTAACTCAAAGTGTAACAATAGAAAGACCTTGAATGTTTATGGAACTGGCAAAATAGAAAAATTTATACTATGTGCTAGCTTCTTCAGTCCTTATTCAGGCAGAAGTCCCATTGACATCACAATATCAATAGGACTTCTGCCTGAATCAGGACTATATGATTTGGCCCTGTATTTGTAAATGTTCTAGAATATTGAGCAATTCTTGTTTGTTTGTTTTTTAGGTTGTTGAAGACTGGAAATTTATAGCTCAGGTGCTTGATCGAATGTTTTTATGGACTTTTCTTCTGGCTTCAATAATTGGATCAATTGGGTTGTTTATTCCTGTTATTTATAAATGGGCAAATATAATAGTACCAGTCCACATTGGAAACACACACACATAAAATATTAGTGGGATACCACTTCTGCTATGAACGTGATTCTTAAAAGGTACATGGTAGTTCTATGTTCATGCAAATAGTGTGTATGGCACATTTTTAATAGAATTATAATCTTAAGTATAAGGAATCATGCCTATATTTAATCATGGCATTTTAGGACATGTGCAATACCTACTGCTTAGCTGTTAGCCTACTAATTCATTTCTAAATCTGGACAAAATCAAACACACCTTTTCAAACACTTGCATGTATTGTATGCCCCCCCAAAATACAGTACATAGATAACTGCTGAGAACTAGAGGGATTTAAAAAACTTTTTAGATGCTAGTTGTTTTAGAATTGGCAAAACACTATATAAACTATACACTGTACTACTGAGTGTTAAAAGTGTGTAGATGTTTATGTATTAGAGCATTGTGGTTGGTTACTTAACTTACCACAATGAGCAGAAGAGGATTTTAAGAGAATAAATTCTTTTGAGTGTTCTGAAAATTTGAGTTTTTAGAGTAAATTACAAATATTAACCATCTATTCTAATGCACTAGGTGTAATATGTACATTAAAATAATCTATGGTTCTATATTTGTCTTTATTTACACATTTTCAATGAAAAATACTATTAACTTTAAAGACACAGCTCAATTATCAGTTTAAGTTTGGAATTAATACTATTTTGCACTTCTGTAATTTACCAAAAATAAACCTCGCAACAGGTATATTGTATTGTTTCAGATAGGGAAAAAGAGGCAAAAAATTAAATGACTTGTCCAAAGTTGCACTTGAATTCTGAAATAATTCTGATTCCCAGTCCTGTGCTATAACCACAAGACTATATTTCCTCTCTAACATTCTTTGTTTTTCAAAATGACATTTGTAAGCACTTATACAAAACAAGAATTTGAGTCCTGGTTTCTGAAGAAAACTTGCTGAAAGCTGTGCATGTCTTTATAACCAAATTCAGTTAATTCAATTCTTCACTTTTGGACTCATACATAAGTCTGAATTATAAGAATTAAGCTTCGGTGGGAACACATTCTTTGTTTTTTTTTAGCGGTATTGGCAACTAAATATATTTGCATAATAAAGCATCTTTTTTAGTTTTTTAATTTTTTTAAAAATAAAACTGTATTTATTTGACATCTATTCAATGTACAGCCATCTGGTCTGAAGCAAAATTCTGTCTCTGGATTTAATTTTTTTTTAATGTAATTCATAGATTACAAAGCCAGAAGGGACCATTGTAATAGTGTAATCCAGTGGCGGGCAACCTGTGGGCCGCGGGCTGCACGCGGCCCGTCAGGGTAATCTGGTGGCGGGCTGCAAGACAGTTTGTTTACATTGACCGTCCACGGGCATGGCTGCCCGCAGCTCCCAGTGGCCGCGGTTCACCATTCCCAGCCAAGGGGAGCTGCAGGAAGAGCCGTCGCTTCCCGCAGCTGACATTGGGCAGGAACGGCAAACTGCGGTCACTGGGAGCTGTGGGCAGCCGTGCCTGCGGATGGTCAATGTCAGCAAAATGTCTCGCGGCCCACCAGCGGATTACCCTGACAGGCACCCACGAGCCACAGGTTGCCAACCACTGGTCTAATCTGACTTCCTGTATAACATTGGCCATATAATTTCCCAAAAATGATTCTTAGAACGTATCTTGAAAAAGTCATCTGATATTGATTTTAAAATTTCCAATGATGGAAATTTACCAAGACCCTTGGTAAATTATTTCACTGATTAATTACCCTCACTGTTTAAAAATTTATGCCTTATTTCCGGTCTGAATTTGGCTAGCTTCAACTTCCAGCCATTGGATCATGTTACACTTCTCTGCTAGATTGAAGAGCTTGTTATCAGATATTTGTTCCCCATGCGGATGTTCATAGTCTGTAATGAAGTCACCCCTTAACCTTCTCTTTGAGCTAAATAGATTGAGCTCCTTGAGTCTGTCTCTGTAAGGCATGTTTTCTAATACTTCAGTCATTCTCATGGTTCTTTTCTGAACACTCTCCAATTTTTCAACATGCTTCTTGAATTGTGGTTGCTAGAACTGGATACAGTATTCCAACAGCTATCACAACAGTGCCAAATGATAAGTGCTGAGAAACCTTTCTGCTGCAACAGTGTTGTTACTGGTCTTGGAGCTCTGATGTCAGCTGCATTAGCAGACACTGAAGCATGTTAATTCAGCAGACCTCGATGTTAATCATAAGAAAGACCACCAGTTTGGTTCAGTGGTGAAGGCACTTGGTCGACAAAGCACGGTACTAGGGCCCCATAGGAGCTACATGTACACTAATACATGTATGCCCGCAACAATGGTACCAGCTCAGTCAGCGCACCAGGACACTGTCCCCTAGGCTGGTCAAAGATGCCTCGCCTATGACGTCTTATATACACTGATACAAACAAGTTATGTATTACACTCCAAATGTTGTTAGTTACCAACCCTACACCTTGTACCTGCTAGTTCAAACAAAACACCATTATCCTGTCATCCAATTGTTATCTTACGAGGGGTTGGTTTTTTCCTGTGCCATATCTTAAGAATGTGTTTACATAGTTACTTGAGAACTCTGGATGACCTGCACCATCCTCTCAGGTCAGGAATGTGCTTACTTGATGTTAGCTAATACGTAGGGTGTTGTTATTTTGTCAAGGCCAGGCCTACTCTGGTTCACAGCCTTTGGTTCACACTTTTAGTTATGCCTCGCGCTCCAGCAAGGCCTACACCAAATACGATAAAATAACCTCTCTACTGTAGGTGATTTGTGTGTGGGAGGGGAAGGGATGAAGGGTCGAGTGCCTCCCCCCCAGCAGCCAGCCTGAGTGGGGAGTGGAAGGGGCAGGGCCAGAGCCAGAAGAGAAGGGGTGGGACCAGAGCCTCTTCCAGCCACGCTGCCTGGGATGCTGTCTAGAGCAGCGCAAGTATCAGAGGGGTAGCCATGTTAGTCTGTACCACAAAAATAACGAGGAGTCCGGTGGCACCTTAAAGACTAACAGATTTATTTGGGCATAGGCTTTTGTGAGTAAAAAACCCACTTCTTCAGATGCATGGAGTGAAAATTATAGATACAGGCATTAATATACATTGGCACATGAAGATAAGGGAGTTACTTTACAAGTGGAGAACCAATGTTGAAGGTCAATTCAGTCAGGGTGGATGTGGTCCACTCCCAATAATTGATGACTAGGTGTCAATACAGACTTCAAAGAGAAACTGCAGAGCTACAATTCATTTGCAAACTTAACACCATCAATTTGGGTTTGAATAGGGACTGGGAGTGACTGGTTCACTACAAAAGCAATTTTCCCTTTCTTGGTATTGACACCATCCCTCCCCAGCCAGGTTCTCACTGCTGAACACAGAACATGCCAGGGTGTGGGAGGCTGGGCTCCAGCTCACTCAGCCACTGTCCTGGAAGACAAGCCCGGGAGGCAGCCCTCCACCACCGCTGCCAGGTGCTCTCCCAGACAGCTGCTGCGCTTCCCTGGGCAGCATCTGGGAGTGGCTCGGTCCCACTCCCTGCCTGTGTTTGGCTGCCAGGGAGAGCAGCCGAACAGCCGGGAGAGGGGGAGGTCATGTGTCCTCCCCTTTAGCTGGTATCCCCCAGTATGGAGGGCACCCATCGTCTTCTGAGCTTCCCCTGTTTATGCCTCCACTGATCGGATTAGCCTTTTTGGCCATAGCGTCACACTGGGAGCTCATGTTCAGCAGATTATCCATCCCCCTTCCCCCAAATCTTCAGAGATCCTGTTTCCCAGGATAGAGTTTCCCATCAGGTAAGTATGGCTTACATTCTTTGTTCCTAGATAGATTCATTTACATTTAGCCATATTAAAATATATATTGTTCCCACGTACCCAGTTTTTATCAAGTGATCCAGATAACTGCATCAGTGACTTGTCCTTTACATTATTTATCACTCCTCCAATTTTTGTCTTTTACAAACTTTCAGTGATGATTTTATGTTTTATTCCAGGTCATTGATAAAAATGTTAAATAGTGTAGGGACAAGAACAGATCTGTGCAGGACACCAGTAGAAACACACCTTCTCAATGATTCCCTGTTTACAACTACATCTGGAGACCTATTAGTTAGCCAGTTTTAAATCCTTTTAATGTGTGCCATGTTAGTTTTATATAGATCGAGTTTTGTAATCATAATGTTGTGTGATTCCAAGACAAACATCTTACAAAAGTCTAAGTCTATTACTTCAATACTATTACCTTTATCAACTGAACTTGTAATTTCATCCAAAAAATATCAAGTTAGTTTGACAGGATCTATTTTCCATAAACCCGGGATGATTGATATTAATTATATTATCCTCTTTTAATTCTATATTAATAGACTTCCGAATCAGCTGCTCCATTATTCTGCCTGGGATCATTGTCAGACTGAAAAGTATATAATTACTGGGGTCATCCAGTCTGCCCCTTTTAAATACTGGCACAACATTAGCTTTCTTCCAGTCTTCTGGAGCTTTCCTGAAGTTTCAAGACTTATTAAAAATCAGTATTAATGGTCAAACTAGTTCTTTAAAAACTCTTAGATGCAAGTTATCTAGACCTGCTGATTTAAAAATGTCTAACGTTAGTAGCTGCTGTTTAACATCCTCCTGAAATACTAGTGGAATGGAAAGAATGTTATATGATATGACTACATCATCTGTTTTTTCTCCAAATATAAAACAGAAATGTTTATTGAACTCTTCTGCCTTTTCTGCGTTATTATTAATGATTCTACCATTTCCATCTAGTAATGGACCAATATCATTGTTAGGATTCTTTTTGTAAACAAAACTGTTGTCCTTAACTCTGCTGTCCATGGATTGCGCCTTGTGTCCCTTTGCTTCCCTTATCAATCCTTCTACAATTCCTAGCTCTTGATTTATATTCATTACTGTCAACTTCCCCTTTCTTCCATTTGTTATATATTATTTTTGTATAGCTCCCTTCACTTCCCCTCTCAATTTCAGGTCAGTTTTTGCCAGTATGTTCTTCTTCCTCGATTGTGGAATTGTGGCTTTTGGGGCATCTAGTAAAGTGTCCTTAAATGATTCCCAATTATCATTCATGTTTTTCTGATTAAATTCATCCAGCTGATTTGGCTCATAATTGTTTTCAGCTTTGTGAAATTGCCCCTTTAAAGCACTGAGTATAAATATTACTGGTCTGGACTTTATTCTGTTTACACATTATGAGTGTGATCACGTTCTATGATCACTTCCTCTTTATCAGTCAAAATGCGGTCTAATATAGAATTCCCCCATGGTGGATGCAACACTTATTGAGTTAGGAAATTATTATCTATAATATTTAGAAATTCCAAGGATGTTTGAGTACCAGCAGCATGAGACTTCCAGCATGTGTCACTCAAACTGAAGTCCACCATGATCATGCAGCTTTTCCCTCTGCACATTAAAAATAGGTGCAAAAGGAGACGGTAATCCTGTTCCCTCATGTGATTGGGTGGTCTGTAGCAGACACCAACTAATACTTCATCTTGTGCTTTATCTGTTAGGACATTGATCCTTACGCATTCAAAATCATTTTCTTCTGAATGATCAATGACTTGGAAACAAGGTAATGTCATTTTTGAGAAAGAGTACTACTACCTTTCCTCTTTTGCCCACTCAGTTCTTTCTAAGAGGTTATAACCATTGATTGTCACATTCCAATCTTACAACCCATCCCATCAGGTTTCAGTAATACCAACTAGATTGAATTTATGCTCATACTGTGCCCTGGAATCTAAGATCTCTCTGTGTATTCTACACTGCTGTTTTTAACATGAGTATGTCACACTATAGCATCACCCCCACATGCAGGTTTAATTCAGTAAGCCAAACAAGAACATTTTAGAAAATAACTTTCTTTAATACTTGTTTAAATAGCTAGAAAAAATACTGATTTTGCTATTTAGCTACTGTGACGGTTTCTTCTGTGAAAATTACAACATTCTGTCCTTTGATGTTAATGGTACATGGTAGTGGCTGCAGCGTTGGGGAATTAGATTTTTCTCATTTTTTTTTCTGTTTGGATCTGGTGTCATGCTGATTTTCATACTGTCTGGAATTACTTCATATTTAGTATTCATAAAAGTTATTTTGTGAACATTTTCAATATAGTTGCTCATTACTTCACATCCTATGTCATCTGTGGAGTAACTTTCTAGGCTATACAGAGTGTATAAATTACGCTCACGATCAGGAGAAAAAAACGCACATTGCCATTTTCTGGCCTTCAATTTACAGGTACATGTGATTGAAAAGATTCTAACTTATCTACTTTATGTATATAGTTACATGTAATCAGACATTAACTTGTCTTACTTTGTTGTTATAGTTCATTTGAAAAGTTGACGTCTAATAAGGTATCTGATTTGACCTGTGGTATGACTCAACTTTTATCTTTCTTAGTATTAAGGTGCATCAGCACCCTAGTCCATCAGCACCCTAGTCCATTGCCTGTGAGTGGTGACACAGAACTTGTTTTGGATCTCCTCTCACATTCATATTTTCTTCATTGCTTCTGCTTACAGTTGCAGTGGGCACATGTTTAGTTACTGTAGTCATGTTATATGAAAATGAGAGCAACAGTATGGACTAGATACCTGGTTCTAACCTTGCTGCTAATGTTTATTCCCCCTCTTGCTTCAATACAAAAATGAAAATTATGCTGTATTTACATTTGAGCTGATTGTCAGGTTCTAATACAACAGGGCCCCAACCCCAATCCTGATTTAAGTAACATTTTTTTCAAAATGGGGGAAAGCTTTCAGTCACTTCCATAATTTTTACGTATTACATAAAGACAAAATTGCTCACACCACAATTATTGGGCTCTACAGTTCATCCTCAAATTGCTGCTCTAAGTGTTTTAAAACCAAATAATTTCTGATAGATCCCCTATTCCTGGGTCTGTGCTTCTGTGAATTATTGGGGTCTGAGTGCACCAAACAGTAGCTAATGTTATCCTATACAGAGTGTCATGCAACCAGAATAACAAATATGTTTTGCAACTACATAATTCTCTTTATTTTTCAAAAATTTTATATAACTACTTTCACATTTCCATAAAATTTCCAATTTTGCACAGAGAGAACAATTCGCATTTTTACCAAGCACCTTCCCCAACCCTTTTAGTGTACTATATTTATCTTCATGCTCCTGTTTAAGTATCTCTACAGTTATTGGTAAAAACATATGGGATGTATGTATGAGAAGCAGTTCTATTACGCTTTACAGGAAATTTTTATATCTACCTACCTTTTATTAAAGTACTTGTCTATAGCATATGAAACAAAACTATCCTGTAGTATCTTAATTCCTTCATGTGAGCTGTTTGTCTCCTCTGAAGAGAGTGTGTGTGTGTGTGTGTGTGTGTGTGTGTGTGTGTGTGTGTGTAATGATATTATTAGATTTGAATAACTTGACATTTTGCTAGCAATTCTGTTCCATTTCCAAAATGGGAGGTGAGCAGAATCATGTGATGGCCACTTTGCTACCTTAACATATTATCCAGCTATAAATGAGTTGGCCTTGTTCTAAAGTAACTTACCCACTAATTGTTCCCCTCAAAACCTGGCATAATAATGGGTACATCATATACCAACAAGTTACATATTAGTACAGCAATTCAAGAGCTACAGTTTCTAAATGGCTGTATACTGGAGTGGCTTTATGGCACTAGTTGTGATCTTGCTCCAGAAGAATTGTACTGAAGCATGTCACATCCTGGAGGATGTAGCATTGGACATGAGTGTTGGAAGTAGGTCAGGTAACCCAAATTCTTCAGCCTTCTGTCAGTCCTCTAAACATTCATGTGGAAATGCTGTGATTTCCAATTTCTGTTGGACATGTCTATATCAGAAATGCTGTTTAACAAACACTTCTGTGAATTTTTATATGCTACTTGCATTTTCTCCAGCTCTTGTAAGGGATATCTGGCAATAGCCTGGAGAATATTACCTTCAGATTGGCTGTCATGACATTTTAATATCAGTTAAAGCTTTTCACATTTATAATGAAGCTTTGCTGGGTGAAGCTTAATAAGCCTAGAGACATCTTTTATTCTACTAATAAAACAGTATATACGGAAGCAGCTAAAGTAACTAAAAGAGCATAAAATGTTTGGTCAGCAAACAAATTTCTTTTACAACAGAGTATTTTGAATGTCTACATTTCATCTCCAGCCATCAATGGTTGTAAGAACAATCCCGCTGTTCCTAGAATACATACCAGAATAAAAACCCACAGAAAAATGCGATCAATTACCATGGCAACATACTTCCAGTCATCCTGAATCTGAAAAATATAAACACAGACAAATAAGACATGAAGCAGGCATGTTCTGATAAAGGTAAAGTTTACTGATCAGAAAATTGTTTGGTAATATCAGAACTCTTTTAGGTGTTCAGCAAAAATGTACATGGGAGCTCTTCCATGTACAGAATGTTTCTTCTTTCATATGAACACAACTTCCAACCTGGCTTTTAAGGTAGCAGAAATTCATCCATCATTCATCTATCTGTAGTAAGGCCAAAAACAGTGCAGAATTAACTACTATCTCTTCGTCCCCCCAATGGTTTGATTCATTATGGCTGAAACTTGCTTTGCATGAGTTGCAGAAGCTATCTTTCTAAATTAATCCCAACTTTGTAACACTATTTTAAGATAATAGAACTGTCCCTTTCACTAAACACACAGGGGACATATGGCCCCTCTTCCGTGGGCACAGAAATTTGAAGGTGAAAGAGACTCTATAGAGGGAGCACTTTCAAAAGTCACTTGGGCACATTTGCCCCTGAGCCCCAGGGCTCCCAGCCGCCTCTGCAGCTGGTAGCTCAAGGGTGATTTAAAGGCCTCACCTCTTCTGGTTGAGGCCACGCCCCCCGCTGAGGACTCCGGCGTACTGGTAAATCCTTTAAGTTACTTTCACCCCTGGGAAAGCCTCACTACTTCTGTGAGCCAGGTAAGTAAATATGCATTTTATGGCAGTGGTGACTTGCCCAAGAGCACACAGTGAGCTAACTGCGGTGCTAGGATTTCCCAAGCTCTCATTCTGACGGCAAATCTTGTGCTTGTTCCTCCCTCCAAAAGAGTTAATATAATAGATTCCACTTTAGCAGATGGGTTGGCATTGGCAGTAAAAGGAGTTCAGTGCAACACCGTGTTTCCCCAATATGAATTTCAATCCACTGGGTGATTCATGGCCCCATACACCTGTAATGTAAACAATGTGGGTTATTTGTATCGAGAAATTGTGAATTGTTCTGCAATGTTTTTATGAAAGGCATCTGGGATGTTTATTCCTACAAACAAAAAACACACTCCAACACTCATGGTAAATAGTGCCTGTAGCCTCAGTAACTAATGCTGAAAATTGTTCTTACCTCTTTGGCTTCATTCTGCATTTTCATATTCTCTGCAATGTATTTGACACTTTCAATGGCATCTCTCATTTCTGGTGACAAAACTGAAAACGAAAGCAGAGCATCTACCGAGTCATAGCTTGTACTCCTTGTAAGATTGCCACTGAAGTCAGAAAACTTTATTCGTTGATACTGACAACAGCTGCATGTTATATCTTGACATATAAAGCCATCTTTGCAGCATTTGGCTTCAGAGCTGCTGAAGCAATTTAAGTCTGAGAGCTCAGCACTGTAAAGTGGCTTTGGCTTCTGATTATTCTCTTCATCACTGGCAGGCCTGGTCATAAACATGATCTTGGGAAGTAAGTTCAAGAAAATGGTCTTCACCCACTCAGGCATTGTGTGTGTCTTCGGTGTTCTATAGTGTACATTAAGTACAAACACAGTAATGACAATGGAAAGAGTTACAAATATCATGGTGAAGAGGAGGTATTCTCCAATAAGTGGGATTACCAAAGAGGTAGAAGGGATGGTCTCTGTGATCACTAGGAGAAATACAGTTAAGGATAAAAGGACTGATATGCATAGTGTCACCTTCTCACCACAGTCTGAAGGCAAGTAGAACACCAAAACAGTTAAGAAAGAAATCAACAGACATGGGATAATCATGTTGATGGTATAAAATAAAGGCAGGCGCCTAATATAAAGAGAATAGGTGATATCTGGATATATCTCTTCACAACAGTTGTACTTAATGTCATGTTTATATCCAGGAGCTTTAATAATAGCCCATTCTCCACTCTCCCAGTAGTCTTTGAGGTTCATTGTAGAGCCAATTAAAACTAAGTCAATTTTAGCTTTATCGTAAGACCAGGAACCAAACTTCATGGTGCAGTTTTGGTAGTCAAATGGAAAGTAGGTTACATCTATTTTACATGAACTTTTAAAAATAGCTGGAGGTATCCAGGTCACTTCTCCTGTGTATTTCAATAAGGCCTTTGTCTTGTCATCAACTTGGAAGTCCCCAACTGCACTGCAAAAATAAACCAGGGTGGAAAAAAAAGATAGGCAGTTCAACTAATTAAATTACTTTCATATAATAAGAGGTTAAGAACATAGGTATACTTATATACAGTGACTCTGGATTCATGCACTGTAAGTCAGCAAATGCACACTTCAGCATTCCAGCAGTAACATTAACTGTGCTGAACTGCATGACTGGCGTAAATAAACGTAGTTCCATTGACATCTGTGGAGCTACATGGACTTACAACTGCTGAAGATGGAAATGGTAGTATTTTCTAATCCTGTAACCTGACTAAATGTGATCCATACCCAAGGCAGCAAACATGAGCTCCTTTGTGTCAGAACAAAGTGATGGACAAACTGATCTTCCTTACTGTGCTTGGTTCACTCTCTCTCTTCTCTCCATCCCCACAGTAGCTTGCAGTATCACTCCTCTATGAAAGCAGGAATTCAGGGCTCCTGCCACAGCTTGTCACTGCAGATGCATGGATCAGAGCAGGGCCATCTCCCCACCCTGTTCACAATCACAATTTCAGCTGTTGTTTACATGGAAAAGTAAGACTGGGAAAGCATTTTTAGCTATTTATGTGATTAGCAAACTGCAGAAGAGAAGGAGCCAGCACCACATGACTAGCCAGCTCTTCATGGACCTACCAGCACGTGCTCTACAGACCACAGTTTGGGAACTCCTGTATTGGAGAGTATTTCAAGCATGTTTCATTGAGGCCAGCTTCCTTATATAGTGTATAGTCAACATATCATCTCAGTAACACATTTGGTCTCCTATTGACTCATTGGAAGCAAAAGTCCTAGGAGTGTACCAACCCTGGGGCTTTTATATAGTTATACTTAATGCTGTGTTGATGTCAGATGGGTAGCAATTTTAACTGAAAAAATGTCTGGATCTAGTAGTCCCTTTCAACTAAAGGCCAGAATTACTGAAGAGTTTCTCATCTGTAAATGAGAGGAAAGTTGTGTAGCAGAACTATGTACTCCTTCTTACTGCCAGCCTTGCATACAGTGCAGAAAACATTTATAGAAAGAGTGGGAAGCAGAAGGAGCACAGGGATGCAGAGTCTGAAGTTTCCTGTCTGTTTCTCTTATTAAAATGTGTGTGTTTTGAATTTTTAATACTTATTAGCTCAACAGACTCCAAAAGTATTGATGTTCAAAAGGAGCAGTGATTGGGGGTAATTCTACTACTAGAGAAGTAACAGTTTGCAACACATACCATAGTTGCTGTGTATTAGTACCTGGGTTTGATAAAAATCTTAGGTCTTTTGTAATATTCATGTGAATGTTCAATTTTTTAAAAGTTCATGATACAAAACCAAAACAAATTAAGAGTAAAGGCACTTGATATGACATAATCTTACTTGTTATATAAGACAATGTCTGGCTTCCAGATCCTATCAGATGGGACTCGAATAAACTCAGCACCTCCATATTCCTCTGGATTCCACTTAAGTTTGTAATCGTTCCAGATCTAATCATGGAAGAAACCAAAGTGCATTAGAATTACAAAAAGACCCATCTGAAATTGTGGACTACTGCCTATTCTTTCCATTAAAACAAATTGCTGTGATGTCACTTTTATAAAGTTGGTGTTTGTTTTTTCAGAAGCTCTAATGACTAGATGTATCACCTTTTAAGAACATGTTATTTATTTGTATTCATTAGCACATACATTGGGAACCCATTGTGCCAGGTGCTGTATACACACAAGAGAATCTCCTACCCCAAAGAGCATATGTTTTAAATAGACAAGACAGACAGAGGGTGACATGGGAAACAGACTCAATTAGGTGAAGTGACTTGACCAAAGTCACACAGCAGGTCAGTTGCAGAGCTAGGAATACATCTCAGGTCTCCTGATGCCCAGTCCCAGTTCCCTTTACACTAGACCAGGCTGCCTCCTCTTCCTCTCAGCCTCCAATTATATTAGAATGTGATTGCTCCTGATATTTTCATGCTATGATCCCAACTCATAAGGTAAAGCAATCTTACAATATCTCTAGAGCAACCAGAGAGATTTCTGAGATCGTAAACTAGCTCCCTGCCAGATCCCTCCAGCTAAGGCAGCACAGGAGGGGAGGGCGTGGTTAATGTTTGAATAGGAGATATCAAAGGAATGCCTAAGTACTATAAGAAACAGTGATGATAGTTCAATAGGTGACACAGTTCCCTCTGAGACACAATGTGGATGTAGTAATATCTTTTATTGGACCAACTTCTGTTGGTGAGAGAGAAACTTTTAAGTTTACACAGAACTCTTCTTCATCTCTGGGAAACTAAGGCTATGTCTACACTGCACTTTCGTTGGTAAAACTTTTGTCAGTTGGTGCTGTGAAAACAACCCACACCCTGACCGACAAAAGTTTTACCAATGAAAAGCGCCGGTGTGGACACTGCTTTGTTGGCAGGAGAGCGTCTCCCATGGACAAAGCTACTGCCCCTCATTGGGTGTGGTTTTATTTTGTTGTCAGGAGAGCTCTCTTCTCTCCTGCCAACATAGCGCTGTCCACACCAGAACTTCTGTCGGTGAAACTTATGTCAGTCAGGGGTGTTTTTTATTCACACCCCCGAGTGACATAAGTTTTACCAACAAAAGTGCTAGTGTAGATGTAGTCTGAGTAAATTTCCCAGAGCTGAAGAAGAGCTCTGTGTAAGCTCAAAAGCTTGTCTTTCTCACCAACAGAAGTGGGCCAATAAAAGATATTACCTCACCCACCTTTTGTCTCCAATATCCTGGGACCGACATGGCTACTGCAACACTGCATACTGCATGCCGAGTCAGTATTGAACAAAGAATCCAACATATTTTAAGGAGAGTGGCAGGTACCATTGTTTTGGTGAGACTCAAAAACTCAAATCTTGGCCAATTTGGTCATTAAAATGCCATGGTTCTTTTTCAGAGTCAGGGTGTTAATGCTGTTGTCTGGGACAAGCTGTTGTATAGGTAATTACATTGTCTCTACATGAAGTTCCCTGTAGCCAGTGTAATTACTCTCCACAAGATGAGCTTCACAGAGTTTCCTAGGCCTCCTGCGCTGCTCCAGTGGGTTTTACCACGGGAGGCTCCATAATTATTCAATGCAAATAAATAGCCTACCACTAGGTGTCAGCAATGGATTAAGGTAAGTGTGGCCAACCCAGATCTCTGCACCAAAGCAGCATAGTAACCTACCAGACCAGCATCTCCGATGCTGTGATCTTTCCTTTCCTTAAATGCAAGTCAAATCAACACAAATGCTGGCTAGAAAGAATGTCCCAGTATCTTTGAGCATTGGCTTATTTAAGTTTTTGTTTACTAATGCTGAGGCATTTTGGTGTTGGGCTGTTTTTCATGACTGGAGGGATGTTTTATTTACATAATAGTTACACTTCCATAGTAGAAACAGTTTGTATTTAGCAAAATGTTTACCATTTTCCTCCTCTGTTCCTCCCAAAATATTCCTAGGCCAGTTTATTTAGTTGGTGTTCCTTCTTTTGACCTAAATATTCCTGTTTACAAATCCTTAATGTTAGCAGTTTACATTTTTAATTAAAGAGATTGAATGGAAATACGGGAATTCAGGATGACCTAATGGTTAGAGCTCTAGCATGGGACCTAATGGTTACAGGGAAGAACCCACTGTAGTTGAATGGCTAGAGCATGGAATCAGCAGATCTGGATCCTGTTTTTTGGCCCACCTATCCGAAGTGCTGAGATGTCTGGATGAAAAGTGCTATATAAATATAACGTGCAATGTCACGTTTATACTAGTTAGCTAAATGCTGATACTAATGAACATTACGCAAACCATGGTCAGTAGAACATATTGCTTCTCAAATTGTGGGTGGAGGACGCAGCAAGAAACCTCACATATTGACATTAAAAGAAAAATTAACTGAGCTGATATTATCAGTGCTGGGATTATATTTACTTACATGTTTCAGCCACAAGTTGGTCTCCATTATCTGGTTCACTTCATCCTGAAAAACACAGCCATGTTGAAAAAAGGAGTGGGCCTTTCTTTGGGCTAATAATGTAACACTTACTAGGTTCAGAAAGAAGCCAGTACTCACCACCTTCACTAGCTGTGACATGGATACCTCAAACTGAATGATGGCAGCGTCTGACACGTTCGCCACTGGTCTGATAAACTGATTGTAGTTGGCAAACAAGGCTGCAAACAGCCTGTGCTCCGCTTCTGAACAACTGCAACCTGAAAAGAGATCATGTTGGCTTCTGATTTTGAAACAACCCAGGAAGCTTCATGTGGCCAAATGCTATTTCCTTTGAAAATTAAATAACCAGCCATTAAATCTGCATGATGTTAATTTGGCATTCATTTAAGGTGAAAATAGAAGAATAAAATGTAATGGTAGATGGAGATTTTCATATGTCTCTGCTAGTGGAGTTTAAAGGATAATTTAATAAAATCATAGAAACTGGAGCTGAAAAAGCCCTTTTCCCTAGCTCACCTTGTCCCTCAACACTACAAAAAGGAGTTGGGGTTGAGTGGGGTCAGAGGAAAAATTTTTTCTTACAAACTTAGGCCCATGAGGAGTTAAAACTACATTTTCTAATATGACAAGCTCCTGGGAAATTTTACTGTCCCAGGAGACTGAGGCTCATTATAGGATGGTTGCAATGATGCTAACAGCTTGTTCATTATAAATAAGGAAACAAAGATTAAAAATTGATTCACCATTTCAGAGGGAGTATATTCTATTTGCAATTGTCCCTTTTTGATGCTGGTTTTGCTATCTGTGGTACCTTCTGGCTATAAACTGAAGGTCTCAAAGCACAACTGGGAATCTTCTGTCCCTTAAACTATGCTTTCATTCTTATAGGCAACAGATAAACACAGTGGGAGGCAGACTTCCTGAAATTTAGTGGCCTTGTCCTAAAGAGACTCACTAGTGGTACTTGGATGTGATATGCCCAAATCCTTTCATTTAAAAAAATTAGATCTCTTCTCCATTTATGGATAATGTTATATTTCAACATGGCTGGTGAGACAAACTAACAGTTAGGGCTAAATTCTGCTTACAGCAACACTTGTGTAAATCTGGAATAGCTACACAGAGTCTGTCGATCTTTTAAAATATGACAGTATGACTGTATATAGATTTACATGCAGTTGCTAGGATATGTTTGAGGGTTTGTTCCCCCAGTCGTACTAGGTTAGTATTTTCCAGCAAACAGAAGGGAAGCAGAAATACCCATATGCACAATAACTGATCTATAAAGTTTCACAAACAAAATATCTACCTTCTGACCTATTCTAGAAGTTCTGCTGACATCTAGTCTGAAAGTGGCACAATGTCAGACCACATACAGTTAAACATCCCCACTCTCTATTCATTTTGAAGACTATTTTTTCAAGGGTAGTAAAGTCACTCAAACCAACACACCAGATTAAAATAGATAGCTTTATACCTTCCTATTTCTGGAAAATTAACTTTTTAGCCAGTAGACTTGCTCTAAACATTTAGTGATATCTCATCTATAATTATTAGCAAGTAAAGATTCCCCTGGATTAAATACACCTGAGTCCTTTATATAGGTGTGTTTTAAGATTCATGTTCAGCCTTTTGCCAGCTCCTTCCCAAATGCTGTTGACCAATTTACATTTCCACAACGTGTGAATTAAATCTCTGTGTTTACCGCACATCCAGCACCCATCACATTGTAGACAATAACTACATATATATAAATCAGTGTTTCAACATTCTGGTTAAAGTTGCTGTCATCCCAGAGCACCAGTAATAGCAAGAAGGAGATCTTTGCTCTGCAGAGATAAGGTGCACTGTTCAGAGCCACCTTTAAGGCTATTTCAAGCAGCTGTTTGGCATCACCTATTTCTGCTGATGCCCCAGCACTTTAGAGCATATATCCACTGTGAGCTAAACCTTAAAACCATTTTGAAGTTTTCCAACTCTTTGGTTAACATTTAAATGGCTTTGTGGGATCCTGGGACCCATTTGGCATGCCAAATCAGGGCTGCTATTTGTCACGAGTTCATAAGGCAAGATTTAAAAATTGTTTAACAAAAGAAGCTGGGATTCATACAAATCCTGCAGCATGCCACTTATTAGTGCTGAACCTAAGTCCAGACCAATTAAAAACAATTGTACAAAGCCATATCCCGTCCTCCTTCTACCCCCTCCTTTTAAAAAAAAGTCAAGGACCACTCACCTTTAAAGAATAAGAAAACAGCAGCAGCTAGAAATAGAGCGAATGTGCTCCCCATGGCGTTATGAATTACTGCTCATCAACAGAGACTGCTGGCGACAAGCTCAGCTGCTAGGATTGCACAAGCATGGGAAATGCAGACAGCTCCAATCTTCCAATGTATAAAATCCTTGTATAAGGCAGACTGCAGGACCCTGGAGAGCAGTTCTGCACCATGGAAATCCCATTAGCAACACTGTGCTGCCTCCTTTTCAGTTGTTCATATTGTCATAAACAGAGAGCACTGGAAACACAAAATAAATTGTAGACAAAATAGATGTAGTTACTGGAGGCAAGAAGCAATCATCGATTCATTGGGCAACAAGGGTAGGCAAGAGGCCATTAGTGGATGCATAAATGAGCCCAGTAATTGGATAATGCTAAGAGTTTTTCCAATCAGCTCCTGTACAGGAGATTAATCTTTATAGGAACGTTGTGCCAAGCTATTAGAACAGGTTTAATTAATAAAAATCTTATAACTGAACTGTGCTGAAATAGATATTGACATTAGAGACACTAAAATTAGCAGTAAACTGAGCCCAAGAGACCAAAACTGCCAAAAGGTGGGTGAGGTAATATCTTTTATTGGGTGAGAGAGACAAGCTTTCAAGCTTACACAAAACTCTTCTTCAGGTTGACACTGGTAAAAATTTGTACCCATTTGAGGCTTTGTAGTGAGGAGAGCCCCAATCCTGCAGGCATGTGTGAAAGTATTTACTTCTTCATCCTGATTTTGCATTTCATCTACTTTAGCTTCACTTTCATCTTACTGATGGGGGTGCTCTGTGAAGGCAGTAGTAGACTTGCTCCCCTACTTTGAAATCAATGGGACTACTCACAGTAGGAAAATTAAGCAAATGCATAAGTGTTTGCAAGATTGGGGTCCAGAGATTGACATAAGGTACAGTGACCACAGTTAGGTCAAGAGCTCAAGTTTGAGGTTAAACTAGTTTGGGTTTAACAGCACTGAAATCTCCTGAGAACAGCTGTGCTTGCAAGAATCCTGCCATCTTGGGTCAGGAAAATCAAATGTTGGTACCAAATTCAAAAGGGAAGGGAAGGATGCAGCGATTCCAGACTGATTCCTCTGAAACCTGACATTGAGGGAGAGGGGTTGGGTTTGAGGTTCTGGCTGAGGCCCATCTCTAGCAATGATAGTGGCTTGAAAGCTCACTGGCGCCTCTCCTTGGAATTTAAAAAGAGACTTGCAAATTCCTATGGGGCATCAAATGTTCTGATTTTTTTTTTAATTGCCAGGGTTTTTCTTTTATGCAGTGTTGTAACAACTGTGTTGGTCCCAGGATATTAGACAGACAAGGTGGGTGAGGTAATGTCTTATATTGGATCAACTTCTCTTCATGAGAGAGACAAGCTTTCAAGCTTATACCAAGCTCTTCTTCGGGTCTGGGACACTAACTCAGAATGTGACAGCTAAATACAAGGTGGAACAGATTGTTTGGTGTAAGTAGTTACCACATATTTCAAGGGACGATTCAAGGTGAAGTGGTCCATTAACACCCTTCCAGTCATAGGGAAGAAATGAAGGGAGGTGGAAAGCAGCTGGGGGCGGATGAAGTTTAAGGGCTTGTTTGTTGAGAGCTTTTCTTTTTAATTTCAGGAATAATTCTCAGGCCTAGGATCTTGCTCCAGCAAAGGACTCGCTCTCCAGGCAGAGAGGGGAGCACACCAATGGAGTGCCTTCCTCGTGACTGTCAGCTCTCCTCAGTGCAGGGTGGGGATGGGGGTGGAGGCTCTTACCAAAGCTTTTTCCTCTGCATGACTTTCTCAGGCTGGTTCTTTAAATTTGGCTGAGCCAAACAGCTGCCACTCTACTGTCAGTAGTTAGTAGTTGGCTGTATCCCTCTCTCTTCCAACTGGTAAATACCTGTTCTGTTTCTTCTTTTCTGACATCCCTAATTTCTGTGCTTTTTTCTTTAAGCATAGGTCAGTGATGCTCAAAGAAGCTAATCTATAGGGGCCAAAGCAATTTTTCAATGCAGATTTTGCTTTGCAAAGGTAAAAGTAATGCTGAGTGATACTGAGAAGAATTTATGGAGTAACTGTGTGCTGGACACATAAGAGAGGGCAGCAGGGACAGAGGGAGAGTAAGGAAGAGGCAAAATTCTGCCTGCTAGGCAATGGTGGGAGGGCAGTCCAAAGGGAAGTAAGTGAGGCCCAGTCCAGCTGGTATTAATCTCCTTCCTATTTAGGGAACCACCAACCCATATTAACAGTGAGCATCTGGAAATGGTAGGGAAGGGCAGGATGGTCTTGTGTCACAGTCCAGTGGAATGACACAAGAGACCGGGGTCAATTCCCAGCTCTGTCACAGACTCCCTGTGTGACTTGGGAAAAGCGTCTCTGTCAGGGTTCCCTCCCCACTCTGAACTCTGGGGTACTGATGTGGGGACCAGAGCAGAGTCAGAGGGGAATCCTCTGTGGTTTAAATCTTTTTTATTCACCCTGTAAAGTTACCTTCCATCCTAATTTTGCAGGTGTGATTCTTTTATTTATTTTTTTAAATAAAATTCTTCTTTTAAGAACCTGATTGATTTTCAGTGTCCTATAAAAACAGGGGTTTGGTCTGTGCTCACATTGTAACCGATTGGTTAGTATATTATTCTCAAGCCTTCCCAGGAAAGGAAGGGACTTGGGGGAATATTTTGGGGAAACAGGGACTCCAAGTGACCCTTCTTCCTGAATTTTTGGCTAAATCACTTGGTGGTGGCAGCAATACCGTCCAAGGACAAGGAAAGGATTTGTGCCTTGGGGAAGTTTTTAACCTAAGCTGGTAGAAATAAGCTTAGGGGGTCTTTCATGCAGGTCCCCACATCTGTACTGCAGAGTTCAGAGTGGGGAGGGAACCCTGACAGCCTCAATTTCCCATCTGTAACTGGGACAAACAATGCTTCCCTCACAAGGGTGGTGGGGAGACCTTCTTTGTGTTTGAAGTGCTTGGATGCAGGGGTGGCGGCCATGTTAGTACCTAGACAGACAAGATTGTATTGAATCACAGAGTTTAACCCCAAATGGAACAGGAAATGAGATGGCAATGCCATCATTTCCTGCTGAGATGGCATTAATAGTGACAGATGTTCACCAGTGGGACCCATAGACAGTAGACTCATTGTTGCCAACTCTCATGATCTTGTTGTGACAGTTTGCCTGGCGCTGAAGCCAGTTGGGCCATAAAGGGAGAAGTTCCAGCTGTCTACCAAATTTGAGCCTTGCCTGAGGGAAAACTCCCTCTGATTGGCTAGTTGTCCCATTTGCCTGTGTCACAGGGATGAGTAACCAATCATAGCTGCTTCAGGCATAGCTCCCTACCTTTAGCAACTGAAAGTCATTCACATAGGAGGGGAGGAGGGCAAAGGAGTCCAACAGCTCAGGGTGGCTCTGTTCCATCATCCCTCTTCCCCTCCTGTGAGCAATGGCTCCGTTTGCTCTCTGCTTCCTGCTCTGCTGTGAGCAATGAGTCATTCTGCTCCCCCTCCCCTCCACAATACCTGGCTTGGAAAGACTCAGAAGGGGTAAAGGGGTGGTGGTGAAGAGCCCCTGGAGCTGCCCCACTCAGCCTGGAAGTGAGAGATGGGGCCCTGTTGCAGCCCCCTTACACTTGGTGGGGGGGGCGGGGTGAAGAACACCAGGAGGAATGGAGGTGAGACTTGGTGGGCACTGAATTGATGTGGGGACAGGACAGTATTGATTTGGAAGTTTGGGGCAGCATTAATTGCTGGGCAGGGGACGGGAGATGTGGCAGTGAAAGCTCCTGTAGCAGGGGCCAAAATCCTCTTACTCAATACATATGGTAGAGTAGGGGGCATGAACTGTCACTCAGAGATGCAGGGGATGGGAAGGGAGAGTTCGAAAATCAAGACTGACCAAAAGAACACAATATAATCCTTTTTAAAAAAAGACTTGGTTTTGGGGGGCCAATCTCATGAATTTTTTTGGGTGGTGGGCTACTCAGGATTTTTTATCTCTTGAGCTTGGCAATTTTGAGTAGTCCAGATTCTGATCTCAGTTACAATGAAGTCAGTGTCTTTATTCCATATTTACACACATATCTGAGAACAGAATTTGGCCCAGTAGAATTATACCAGGCATGTATTTGACCCAATGAGCCTGTGTTAGATCATATTTCCAGGATAAATTGAAAAATTGATTGGAGATAAAGCTGTGTAGAAGGAATTCTTAAAATAACCCAGAAATATAAGGTCAGTGTCTGAGGTGCCTTATGCACCTAAAGAAAAGCCTAAAACATGTTAGGGACTGTAGACTTGTGGTGCAGAGGAGACTCTTCTCAAAGAGATGCCACACCTCCCTGGAGCACTGTGACTTTCTTTTTGGTGGGTTGTGACAATTCACCCTGGAATGAATCTCAATTCCTACCAATGAAGTTTACGAATAAACATCTCTGAAACCTCCCAAAGGTTCTCCAACAAAGACAGGGAAGGTCTCTTTACATGCCTGATATGTCCCTAAAGTAAAAGCCAAGCGGAGAAAAAAAAATCCTTCTAAGCCATCATCTTACATACATTATAATGAAACAAAAAAGGGGTACATGGCCAATTTAAGAACTCTCTTTCCAGGTCACTTTTAAGGTATTGAGAATCCTAACTGCCCTGCAAAGTACCATACTGATTTGCAGCCGAGTAAATTGGAATAGAAATGCTCATAAATATCTGAGTTAAGTGTTTTGAGGGATTCTTGAAACTGGCTTTTCATTCTATGTGGATTTTAGAAAAGGCTATTTGTAGAGGCAAGATGGATCAGTGGGTAGGGCCTAGCCTGGGATTCAGGAGACTGTGATTCAATTCCCTGCTGTACCAGTGACTTCCTGTATGACTCTGGCCAAGTCACCCTACGTAGTAAGACAATTAGGCTGCCTAAAGAAGTGGGGACTGAAAAAACTGCGATGGTGATGTATGCTGATGAAAGCCACCAAGATTTTATTTGAGGGTGTGTGTCTATATTGCAATAAAAAACCAACAGCACCACGTCTCAGAGCCCAGGTCA